GAAACTCCATCTCAAAAAAGAAAAAAAAAAAAAAAAAGATATTAATATTCCTGCTTGGGTGAGAGAGTGAGAAAAAAGATATTAGTGTTTGCTTTTTGCAATGCCTTGTGTAGTTCTTAAGTTGATCAAAGCAAAAGACAGACTACAGGCAATTCTAAATATGACCAGTGATTTACAAATTAATTAGATGTAAATAATCATTTTTTCATTAAAAATTAGTTGTATTCTATTTCCACAGAGAATTTTAGAAAATGATTTTGAGTAATCATTCCTCCCTTATAGAGTTATTGAAATTAAATAACTTATTGGGAAAGATTTTTTATAATTATACAAAGGTATGTAGGATCATAGTCTCATATCTGTAGTTCTGAAGTCCAAAAACTCACGAAAACCAAAAGGTTTTTCATAACTAATTTGACAGCAAAATCTGGCCTAGTTATAGTCTTTATTTTCTTTTTTTTAATTTAAAACTATTCATTTATTTCACTATAGTGAAATAAAACTATAAATAGTTTTTATAAAAACTATAAATAGTGATTTAAAACTATTCATTTATTTCACTATAGCTTAATAATGGGTTTGCTTTCCTGCTTCTATGATGTAGGGGCATTATGTAACATCTGGTATTTGCATAGTACCTTTACAAAATCCCAAAAAAATCTGAATACTAAACACATTTAGCCCTAAAAGTTAAAGATAAGGGATTCTGGACTTGCATTCTCAGTCTTTGTTCGTTTTTATTGCATTTTCTGAGCCAACATAACCATTTAAAAACAAGTTGCTATAGTAACTCTACAGACCTCCCCCAAACTCAGCGGCTCAGAGCATGTATTCTCTCTCAAGGTTCTGCTTCAAGGTGTAGGTCTGTGGATCAATGGGGGCAGTTCTTATTTGTATGTCTTATTCTGGGGCCCAGGCTGAAGGGGCAGTGGCTCTCCATGGTAAGCTTTTCTCCAGGCAGCAGAAGTACAAGAAGGCAAGGCCAATTGCACAAGCATAGTTTAAGTGTCTGTTTATGTCACATCTGCTAAGATTGCATTGACCAAAGCAAGTCATATGATAATGGCCAAAGACTTAGGAGTGGGTAGTAGACTGCAACCACCATGCAGCCAAGCAAACTACAGAGCCAAGCTTGTAACATCACTGAAGAGTGGTGTATTCCTATCTTGGCCAGGCTGGGGGAGGGAGTGAATATTTGCTGAATAATAATCTAATCTACCACAGATGGTTAACAGAGGTGGAGTGGGATGGAAGGAGGAAGAAAAAAAATCACCAAATGGGATGTATCACTACCCTTGCTCATTTTAGCGTCTGCTGCGTGTTCCCAAAGCCTTTTATAGGGCTGGAGAAATGATTTGCTCCTAGTCTCTGAAAAACCAGAGGAGTCTTTTGAGGATGTATTCCTAAAGTTTTAAATTAGTTTAAAAACATTTTAAAATTAATTTCAATTATAGGCTGGGCACAGTGGCTCAACCCTGTAATCCCAGCCAAGGCGGGTAGATCACCTGAGGTCAGGAGTTTGAGACCAGCCTGGCCAACATGGTGAAGCCGGTCTTTACTAAAAATACAAAAATTAGCTGGGCATAGTGGTAGGCACCTGTAATCCTAGCTATTCGGAAGGCTGAGGCTGGAGAATCACTTGAACCTGGGAGGTGGAGGTTGCAGTGAGGCATGATCAGGCCATTGCACTCCAGCCTGGGTGATGATCGAAACTATGTCTCAAAAATAATGATTTCAATTATAGGTTCCAGTTTAGAGTTTGGTTACATTTACCTTTAAAAACTTAAGTAGAGGCTTTTCCAGCCCATTCATAAAATCAGAACTTGGGCTGCCTGTCAAGGGAGAAGCTTTCCAAATAACACTAAGCCTGATTAAATACTTTTGTAGCCGGGCGCGGTGGCTCAAGCCTGTAATCCCAGCACTTTGGGAGGCCGAGGCGGGTGGATCACGAGGTCAAGAGATCGAGACCATCCTGGTCAACAAGGTGAAACTCCGTCTCTACTAAAAATACAAAAAATTAGCTGGGCATGGTGGCGCGTGCCTGTAATCCCAGCTACTCAGGAGGCTGAGGCAGGAGAATTGCCTGAACCCAGGAGATGGAGGTTGCGG